TAAAGAGACCAACACAGGGAACCTGCAAGGATGTTCATGAGAAAATCTCGACGCTACTGAAATCAATAACCGAGTTTCGGACCTGCGTAGTGCGCTCGTTGTACCACAGCAATTTGCTAAACGTGGCACGTCTTTGCCCGAGGTTCTTCGACTGAAGCCTTGAGCATATCCGTAGGAACTCTCACTCTGGCAGCCAGGGAACATCGAACGACTTTCCGGAAGTTTGACCAACAACCTGCAAATGGAACAGGCAAACACTATCTTTGCGCGCTTCCACTAGAGAAAACACCGTCTGGGTCGTCAAATAGCGCTTCGACCACGGTTGCACATAGTTGGTTTCCTTTTTGATGGAAAGATATCGATTTTCCTCCATGCGCTCCATGTCGTTTCTCACCAGCCTCAATGACTGGCTAAAATCATAGGCTAATCCTGTGCGACCCTAGTCAAAGTCAGCCGAAAAAGAAACAAGGAGCAATACCAGTTGTCTAGGAGTACCTTCCCCATTCTTTCTGGAATCCTTCTTTCTAGGAAACCCCCAGAAACCCAGGGAAACGACCGGTTTTTGAAAAGAACGATTGTTGAAAAGAATGAGGAATCAACCCCTAGAAGTTGCTCAAACCTGTTTGCACACAAGCTCAAGAATCCGCATGATTCATCTTCTAAGAGGCCGGCAGCCTTAGGTTGGTTGTTCAATTTGGCCCCAACACCATAAGCCAAACAAAATGGCTCTTGAGCTCAATAGGGAGCCCGTTGAAAAGTGGCACAACTCCCCAGCCAAATTTTACGTCCCCCCACAATTCCCCAAGTAGTGACCTCCCTGGGATTGACCTTTTTTTCTCATATGCGCGTGTGGCTGAAAATTAAAGAGTCAGGGCTACGCAGGTGTTGGAGCAACAATTTAATTTTTAACAATTCAGTGGTGGGATCTCAACCACTCAACTGCAATAAGCCAAAAAATGTTTTTAAAAAAATGTTTCCCAAGGACCAAGTTGATGGATTTGATATGAAACCATGTTGAGTGGTTGAAATGAAGCAAGCAACGACCATGTTGTGCCCATTTCCCGGATTTCAAGCCAAACCCAGGCCCCACGACACCCGCCTGGCCGGGTCCAATTGTCGCTGGAAAGATGCCGGCCTGGAAGGAACATGAGGACTTAAAATCGAAATGTTACCCCCCTCCCCGAAATGGCAAGACGTGGCCTTTAAGGTGCTTTGTTTTGGTGTAAAGCCTTCCATAAAAAATAATAATACGTGTTGTTGTTGTTTGTTTTTTTGTGTTTTATCACTCTCCTTTTTTTACCTTCCGAAAAATGGGAACCCACAAAACAGGCTCCAAGTGCCACAAAGAGCACGTTTTAGCCGCTTCCCTCTTCTCAGGTTCCCTATAACGAGTGGGAGTTGGATTCGTGGCTTGGTTGGATTTGAACGTCTGGTTCTTGAGGCAAAATGGTCGGGTTCTTGAGGGCATATGCGAAGCTACACCACCAAACCAAACCACCAATTAGGTGGAAGCTGAGTTAAAAGTTACAACTGCTCAGTTTCTCCAACTACAACCATGGCTATAACCCACTGATTGCGTGAAGTTGGTGGTTTCAAGGTTGGTTGCTGGTCTAATTCAGAGAGCTTGTGCCCACAGGAATCTCCGTTTGGGGGGCCACTTTTCACAGTCCATGTGAATTTGGGCTTGAGGCGCTCTGACCCAAAAACATGCTTCCCTCTGCGAGGTTTCTTGGTATGGGATGCACAGAAAGCAATATGGCCCTAGGTCACACTCCCATACCCCCAGTGAACATCCCAATCCAACCACTAAAAGGTTCTAAAAAATTTGCAGTGAATTCACCTACCAACCAAAATGGGGACTTCATTGGTTTTGGACAACCACCGCGATCTCTGCTTCATGTCCAGGCTGTGGTGTGCAAGCAGCTGGTTCCTGGGGTCTGACGCTGAGCCGCTGGCCATTCGGCCTAAGATCTTGGATACACATCTGGGTGTGGCTCAAAAATAAACGATCGGAGGGGCCAACCGCAGGTTTTGGTCCAGGTTTCCACTGACCAGGGCAACCCATTTTGGAATTCCGGTTTTTGGAGCCACAGCCATCTAGTCACCAAAAAGGCGAAGGCTGGTTGGCTGCCCCAAGAACCGTGGTTTTATGCCCTGCTCAACTCAGCCCTCTTTTCAACCATCCTGGAAGTGCGCAGGCCGCAGGATGGTTCTTGGAAGACCGCGATCTCCAAGAATGCCGTGATCTACACTGCCATGATTGTTGGAAAAAGGGCAGATTCCGGCCCAGGTTTCGTGAGCCTTCAGATGCTGGAGGTCAAAAAAGGGTCCCAGGGTTCGCTTGATACCTCATATCATTGAAGGAGAGCTCACTTGGAATTGACTAACAAACTGACCGGGTGAGCCAAGGTAAGTTTTGCGTCTTTTCTCCAAAAGGACATGGGACAAGGAGGGCTTGGCCCCTGTTTGGTGGGAAACTTAGAGCTCGCCCCGTTCTCCCGAACCCCATAGACCAGGTGGAGCTAACTTGGAATTCACCGTTCCGGATCTTAACGGGATCTTAACAGAACAAGAAACCCGAATCACTCGCCGGCGGCTTCTCGCAGCCTGCGGCTTTGCGGCCCTGAAGCAGGGCGACATCCTCTTGGCAGCTGTCCTGAGAAACGCGTCGTCAGGGTTTTGGTTCAACCCATACTTCCAAAAAGGAGGCGGGGCCCCGAATCTTTGCCGGGTTTTATCGATTTTGGCGGGGTGCGGCATTCACTCAAGCCCCACACTGCCTGTTTCTCAGGCACCCATTGGCAAATATCTGTCGCAAAAAGGAAGCAACCTACTGGGTGTCCGCGGCTAAAAGGATACTTGAGGAACCGTGGCATCTGGGAATGCAACAATTCTTGCTTCGTTTGTGCTTCCCTTTCGACCAACTCAACACAAGCGCTGGCCACTGTGGACCCTGTTTGTCCCTCTTCCCAAAATCTGTTTTTCATCTCAATCTGACCTCTTGCTGAACTCCGGGCCCAAAATAATTGACATCAAGTTGCAGGTCGAAACAAACAGAACAGGGGAGGGACCCTCGCAGTGCAAGAGATCAATAAACAAAAAAACACAAAAAGTGCACTACCGCAATTCCCCGGAATTCGAAAAAAAGAAAAGCAAAAAAAAAAAAAAAAAACGGGTCCCCCGTGTAGCCTCCAAAAAAGTTTGTGCGCCGCACCCATCTGCCCTTATCTTCCTTCCCCGGCCTCTGACCCGATCAGCCAGGGCAAGAGTGCGAGCGCAAAATACACGCGCCGCGGAGCCGCCATTTGTTCGACGTACTTCGGACGTCCGGGGACTTATAAACAGCCGCGGGACTTGAGCCGGTTGAACAAAATGCACCACCGTCGAAATCAAGACCTGCTTGGTTGGTTGGTTGGCTGGTTGGTTGGTTGGTTGGTTGGTTGGTTGGCTGGCTGGCTGGCTGGGTGGGTGGGTGGTTGGTTGGTTGGTTGGTTGGTTGGCTGGCTGGGTGGTTGGTTGGTTGGTTGGTTGGTTGGTTGGTTGACTGCAACCTGACACGGGTTAAGCAGCCAAGTCGGGGTCGCCTAAAGGTCACGCGATCAAAACCTGGTAAGGTGATCCACAAGAAATGGCAACACCTATTTGTGTAAAACAAAAATGCTTAAAAAAAAAAAAACAAAAACACGAGCGTGCAAGGTAATTACTCCGCAGGCCTGCAATCGCAGGGCCCCAAAGCTCTTTATGTTGGCTACTTCATCTAGGGCTTTGAGTGGCTCTTTCAAAGCCCCCTGAGCAAAGCTTCGGTTTATGTTTGGCAGGTTCAACGGAAAGGCCGTGTGGCCATGGGTCGAAATCCAAATCGGTTGGCCCCCAGTGAACATGCGATTCAATCCAACCACTAAAGTAGGTACTAAAATGGGTGGTGAATTCACCTACCAACCAAAATGGGATCCAAAACGGTTTTGACCCACAGCCATGTAGTACCAAGGTCCAAGGGGCTAGGCTCACACCAAAGACCAGCCATGAAATGTGGTCAAAGGCTTGCCAATTCAAACATCATGCGCAACAGACAACATTGCCGGGGTATAGGTCTTGGAATGCGGGGCTTGAGCACAGAGGTCCGGAAGCAACCGCTGCTCCAGGAAGAAAACACACACACACACGAAAAGGTTCGTGAGTGGATCATCGGTCGAGGCAAAAAGAGATGTCGCCTCTTACAATGAGATTGGATCCCGGGACGAGCAGCCAAGGTGAGTCATGGAGGAACCCTAAAAAAAACAACCTGCCAAAAGGGTCTGCGTACAGATCTCTGAGCTGCTCTGGAATTTCGTTCGTGGGGGTCCGGAAAATGGTCTGCCTTTTTGCCTCCTCTGCAGGACAATCCTGTGGCCTCAACTTGTGCTGAAACACTCTTCGGGCGTGCGTGGCCAGTCTTCTTTTGAGGCCGCGCCTGCTTTTGGTGGTTTCATAGGAAAACCGGGGAAAGCGGCCAAAAAATGTCCACAAGTCGTGCGAATGGGTCATAGATGAAGGGACAACCAGCTTTGGACCTGAAAAGAGGTTCAACCAGTGGCCACGCGGTCCTTCTGCAAATCTGAAACAACCACTACATCAATCGAGCAAACGGTTTCCATCAACCTAGTTGACCTCCATTTGCGTTTCCGCCCCCCTGGGAAAAAATAGAATAATTCCAGTAGGGATAGATTCCCTTTAAAACCAACAGGGGAAAATACAAACTATTCTTAACCAAACGGAAGTTGACGTTGGAAGGAGCCCCAGACTGGGAAAACTGGCCACAATTGGTGCAGACATTGTCGCAACAACCCCCCCCCCTCCCCCCACTCCGGTTTGCCACCTGGACTTTCCGAGGCTGGATTTTCCGGGCTGGGTGAAGTCTCCGCCATGGGCAAAAAACGGCGCCAAATCCTGAAGTTACGCCAGGGGGCCGCCTGGATTGACCTGAAGGCGTGTACGACAGTCAGCCGACTGAGGCTTCGTGCGATCATCGCCACAAAGGCCACGAAAAGGTTCAGGTGATAGGTACCTTGGAACCCACAAAGGTGTGCGGTGTGTGGAGTGTGGAGTATGGAGTGTGGTGTGTGGTGCGCGTGCGTGCATGCGTGCGTGCGTGCGTGTGTGCGTGCGTGCGTGCGCGTTGCGTTGCGTTGCGTTGCGTTGCGTTGCGTTGAGTTGCGTTGTGTTATGTGGGCGGACGGGCGGACGGGTAGGGTGGGTAGAGGGGGAACCAGCGGTAGAACCCCGGGACCTTTGCAGTTCGCAACTAAGGCGGGTCTTCGGACAAAGTGAAATACGTCCAGGAAAAGGAGGGAGTGTGGTTGAAGGGCTCATCATTCTCTGTGAAGCAAGGGGGGTGGGCCGCTTTGTCAAGTTGACCTTCTCTGTCAATTTGGGTTGTGGAACCCAAAACAGAGGTCCAAAATGGAACCCTGGCAAATGGAAGGTGAGCCAAGCCCAGCGTAGCTGCTGTGCCAATCCTGGCCCACACCTAGGTCCTCCAGTAGAGAGGTTAGAACAAGGGTACCCTTTTTTTCCGTCGTCGAATTTAGTAGGGGAACCGAATCTCCCAACCAAAAACAGGGGTGAGAGAAAGGGCGCCCTTTCGCTGGGACCTAGAAACCATTCAACTGGTGCTAGGGGACCAAGTCCTGTCTGGGAATGAGGGGAATGAGGGGAACCCCAAAAAAAAACATCCGACGGGGTGGCTTCCTTTGAGAAGCTCCACGGGGACATCTCCAGGGCCTGGGCCGAACATCAGCACCGTCGCCTCCACGCACACCGCGTACCTCGGCGCCGCGCGCGCCCGCGCCCGTGGGTTTGGGGAAACCAAAGGAGAGCAGCTGGTCTCTTCCGTTGGGTGAAGGCCCCAGGAAAAAGAGAGAGAATATGTCCAGCTAGTGCTGAATTCCTTTTTTAAGACCAACAAGGAACAAAAAAAGAGTTCTTAGGCAAATGGAGGGCTCGGTGGAAATTCCAAAGGCGGGCATTTGGCTTGGCGGGGGAAAGCGGGCAATGGCAACACGTGGAAAACCAAGCTTCTAAACGGGTGTTGATAGTTTGGAAAGGCCCAAGCAGCAACCCTGGCCCATGCAGCCTTGGTCAGGATGGAGGTGCTACCCGCTGCTATCCAAAGGGAAACCAAAGGCAAACCATCCACCCATGAGGAGCAATTCAAGGCAACCCGGACAAAGAAAACGGGCTGGCAGATTCTTCGAGGCTCGGTGCCCTTTTCACCTTGGTTTATGGGGGGGGTCAAATCAAACCCCTATGCTGACACACACACTCACATGGACTGGTGGCAAACCAATTTGTGAGTTGATTGGGGCATTCCTTCTAATCAAGGGACTCCTCGGTGTCCCTTGAACCCAGACAGACACAATGTGAAACAACCGAACCAAGAGGGAGGGGATCCTGACTTCCAACTTGTACAGTGAAACAAAAGAAAACAAAAAACGCTGACATCTTCCTGAATTCTCATTTGTACAGAAAAATGCGAACATCTGGCCCAAGGATGGATTGGTTTTGACCCCAAACCAAAGGCGGCGGTAATCCCAACGCTGGGAGCCGCGCCAATCCGGGTGTCGCCGCAAATCGCTGGCCGTCTGCCAGGAGGTGGTGATGCGGTAGCGGCCCTCCATGCCGTTCACCTCGGAGGGAGCTATGAAGCTCATCGCTCACCGCAACCCCAAAATGCCTTGCCCGATCGGTGAATGGAAACAATGACGGACTAAAACCTGCGGTCCAATTCCCTGGTGGTTAATTTGACCCATACCCAAATCCAAAATGGATTCAGATCGGGAGCCACGGGAAGGTTCTGCGCAACCCAAAGCTACCCTTCGGGATTATGCTCCAGTGGGGTAGCTGGGCCCAAAACCCAAAAAATGTGTCAGCGGATTTGCCACAGTCGACATTCATTTCCCCTTGACTTTGGACTTGGAAGTTACCTGAATTTCTGATTCTCACTTCCTACATAACTTCTGATTATTTTTTAGAAACGGCCCCAACGGCAATCTTGCATATACCTCCACTATCACTGCCCAAAGTCACACCACATCCAGGGTGTATATTTAAAGAAACCAATTCGCAACAAGGTTTGTTGGAGGCGGTAAGCGAGTCGATCTTTGCTTTGTTCTGGCCGCTGATTCGCTTCTCGCAAATCGCCCTCGTACAGTGCGTAGAGGGCCTCAAAGCACAAATATCAACTCGCACACACACACACACACACATACATGCGCACCCATACAGGCGAGTCACCAACCAATAGGGAACCCTCAGGAACAGGCCCTTCTTCATCGGAACCGCTCGTCTTACCTCCCGTAGGTGAGCTCGGTCCGAAAATGTTTCGCACATAGGCAGAACAGTGAGCGATGGGATGTCCCGTTTCGTGGCTGAAATCCAGTGAGCCCCGAAATGCCCATGTGGGTCACATTCAAAACCCGGTATTAAAATGGTCGACCCAGAGACATGTAAAGAATATGGTTGGGTTGCCCGGGTTTTGATTGTGACTCATGTTTTGCCCACGATGCCGCCATCAAGGAAGAAACCCAACTGGATGACCAAACCTCATAGTCGGCCTTTCTTGGGCGATTTATGTCCCATGCGTGGGAGGCATGGTCAAATGAGTTTCTCTTCGGTTGGGAAAATAAATTAGCTGGGATACGGCAAAAGCAGGGAGGGTTGAACCTTCCCCCGCATCCCTGCTTGTTTTTTTTGCTTTTTTGTTTGTTTGGTTTATTTGTTCGTTTAGTTTTTTGTTGGATTGTTTGTTTGTTTGCTTCCTTGCTTGATTTCGCTCGTTTCTTTGTTTACATTGTTTGATTGTCTGCTAGTTGGTGGGTATCGTTGTCAACTCAGAGTAACAATTTCGCGCGAGCCAGGCGCCGGGCCCACAGGACCTCGCAGTAGCCCAGCTCCTGGAGCAGGCGCACCGGTGAGTTCGGGTCAAACACACAGCAGCCGAGAGTTTCTATTTTCTTGCCTTTTCTTTTTCTGTTTCATTTTTTGCGGAGGGGTCGAAACAACATGTGACCTATGTTCTTTTCTGTTTCTGCTCTTTTTTTTGGAGGGGGGTGCGAAGCAACATCCTAGCGCATGTCAGCGCATCACCGTCAAAACTGCAGGACTGTGGAGAACTAACTCTCGGGATCCTGCCATGGTCGTGGCTGCAAAATGACACGCCTGTCTGGCATAAATGTACTGAAGGAAACCCGACAAATCGAGAGCTTTCCCAGCTAGTGTCTCTACAAGAGCCAGGACACCAATCCAAACACCCAACGAGGGCCACCTGGGCCGAGTGTCATTGGCGCCACCTGGGCAGCTTGCCGCAAGGAGCCTCAAGAATAAGAATGAAGCTGCAGCAATGAAGTCAGCGACTGGGCCCGTTCCCCTCCCAACCCGATTTACAACCTGCTTTCCCCCCGTGGCTCCAGATTCAGTCCCAACGCTGTTCCCTAAGCCAGCCAGTTTCCCGCGCGTGAGCCGGGGTCTGTGCCTCCCTGGCTGCTGAGCCCTTCATGCCCAGCCCAGCTCATTCCTGCCACCTCGTACGGCCCCCCCCGCTCGAGTGAAGCCCGCATTGCTCTTCAGTGCGCAGCATTTGCAATTTCATACGATGTAACATCATGTAAATGCCATATCACAACATGTCATGCCACATCACATCATGGCATTGCTTATCACAACATGTCATAGCATATCATATCATACAATGCTATATATATATATATGTATATATATATACACACATACGAAGTGCAATGGAATACGACACAATACTTCAATGTACTATAGTATGATATTGTATAACGATAATAATAATAATCATAGTATGATAATAGCCATATGATAAACCTGTATTCTAGCATGCCATCATACTAGATGTGAGAATGTAACACACAACCTATTATAATAGAATATGACATATAATATTGCAATACAATAGAATGCCATGTAATGTGATATGTTGTAACAATGTGCAATATAATACAACGTAGCAGAACATAACGTGATATGATGCAGTATGCTATAGAGTGCAACACCATATAATGCCATCAAATGAACTGATGTGATACGTGATGATTACCATGCTATGATATGGTATGATAGCATATCACATCATATCATAGCATATCATATCATACGATATGGCACAATGCAAAATATCATAATAGAACATAGGGGAACACAGTATGATATATGATAATACACTCCAATATAGGATAGCAATATGAAATGACATGACCAGGTGTGATATCGCATAACATAACGTAACATGGCAGAACGGAATACATATAATACAATGCAATATGTGTATGTACATATTTATATGTACATAGGAATTATAGTGTACATTGCATATTTGTATATAAGAAGTTAAGGACCACCTTTTGTGGGTGGGCTTACAAAGAAAGCAGGAAAGAACCAGGGAGGTGGAGTCCCAAATTCGGTGAGTTGCCCTGCCCTCTGAAACAAAACATACCGAACATTGTGACCAAACCGCGTGTAAGCCAAAGTCAATGTGTGTTGCGTCGCCAGCTGACATGGGATTTCGATGAGTAAACCCCTATTATTCCAAACTCTTTTGAGTGTGCCTCATGTCATCCACAGTAGACGCTGGAAAATGTCGACCGTTGCTCAACATGATGTCCTTGTTTGGAGTGGGTTGGTCTCTAAATGAGATACAGACCCCCCGAAACACGCTGGTATCCGTTTGCCTTCTCTTTAAATGCAACCAACAACTGCCCAAAAAAAAGGAACAAGAGGCTAAATAGCGCCGCACATGATGTTCGACTGATGAAACCAATTTAGTGTAAAATCGCGGCCCGAAAGTTCGTTCGAATTACTTTTCCACTACAACCGCCTTGGCATCTCAACTATCCAGCGCCGGTTTCTGTGACTAGGTCCTCCAGTAGAGAGGCTCGAATAAGGGTACCTTTTTTTGCAGATTGTCTATTTTAGTAGGGCAACCCTCCCAACCAAAAAAGAAACGGCTGAGAGGTCGGGCACTTTCTCGCTGGGCCGAGCTCTGATCTTTTTGGCTCCTGGCAGTCGTCGCAATTGGTCACCGTGCCCACCTCTGAACGATCAAAAATCGGCCGCGAGAAAAAAATATGTGCGAGTCGGTGTGGCGGCCTTGTTTTTCGGACTGCTCATGGCTTGTGGGTTTAAAGGGAAACCAAAAGGCCAAGCACCATTTTGGGGGGGGGCCTTAACAAAACATGTTATCTAGGTAGTATATGATACACGGGGCTAAATGCATACAAACATGATTCGTAATCTACCGTTCGTTTTGGACGCCGAATCCACCCGTGCATTCTTGCTTGAAAAGTGCCAGAAGAGTGCAACACTTGGTGGAATCCACAATCTTGGCAAATAACATGTATTCTAGACCATAGGTGCTTTTGGAAAGCTCGGGTAAATGGAATATAACCAATCTAAACCAGTGCCATCTATGTCTGACCAAACTCACCTCAAAAGGACACCCATGATCTAGACATAAATCCGTAGTACCCGCCCACCCATGTGCAGTGGCAGGAACCGGCTGGGGGTTCCTGATCTGGAAGTTTTCTGATCCGTACCCCGAAAAGCACTGGCCGGACATCAGACCCTTGCACTCTTCTATCTCTGTCCTGGAACACAAACGTCCTCAAAAACACGGACCCTCCGGTGGAGTCCGCGTTCATCTTTAATCCTCTGGTTGAATAGAAGCGCCCCCTTTGAGTGCAGGAAGTCTGAGCGCTAAGGAATTCTGAGCACTTCTGTGGGATAAACCTCGGGTTGCGTCCACAATGCCCTCTTTGAGCGAAGGAATTCCGCAAAGAAATGTAAAACCTCAATAAAAGGGCCTTTTTTTTCCGTGAAGGAATTCTGAGTACTAATTCATGATTAAACCTCTGGTTGCGTCAAAACGACCCCCCCCTTTTCCGTGCAGGAATTCCGCAAAGAAATTTAAAACCTCAATAATAATAAAAACGCCCCCTTTTTTAGCGAAGGAGTTCTGTTCAACTCGTGTGGAACTCCGTGAAAAAAAACATGGAGGCCAAAAATGGAGGCCACAAAAAATGGAGGCCGGACAAAAAATGGAGGCCGGACAAAAAATGGAGGCCGCAAAAAATGGGGGCCACAAAAATGGAGGAAAACACACCCAAAAAAAAATCAATCCGCCGCCCGCCCGGCGCGCCGCGGCTTCCTTCCCCCCCCGTTTTGGGGGCGGCTGGCGGCGGAGCCCGGGGCTCTGGGCCATGGAGCAGCCGGCGGCGGCGTTCTGCTTGGCGTCGTCCTTCTTCATGTCGTACATCCAGTCCTACCGAAAAAGATATGGGCGAAATGGGCGAACTGGGCATGGGGTGAAATGGGTATGGGTTTCCATTTACCAGGGCAAAACAACCTAGGGGTGAAACGGGCAAAAACCACTGGGCGCACGGGCGAAATGTCCTGCAACCAAAAGAGAAATACTTGCCAGGGCAAGCGATTTACCAAATGAAGGCGAAATGGTGCCAAAATGGAGCGAAATGGGCGAAATGGGGGCGACATGGGTATGGGGTATGGGGTCAGAACCAAAGACAATATCAGAACAAAAAACAAATGAGCGACATTGGGGGGGGGGGGGGGGGGCGAAATGGGGGCGACATGGGTATGGGGCGAAATGGGTATGGGACCAAAACAAACCATTTACCAGGGCGAACCAAACCCAAGAAGTGGGCAAGCCATGTACCAGGACGAACTGGGTTTCCATTTACCAGGGCAAACAAAAATGGGGCGAAATGGTTTCCACTTGCCGATCGGGCAAGCCATTTACCAGGGCGAAATGGATTTCCATTTGCCAGGGCAAGCCATTTTGGGTACACCCGAAAAAAATGGGCGAAGTGGGGGCGAAATGGGTATGGGGCGAAATAGGTATGGGGTATGGGGTGTCAAAATGAAATGAGTGTGGGTCACAAGTAAAACCACCAGGGATTGGACTGAAGGTTTTAGTGTCCATGTGTCCAGTTACCGATGGGACAAGCCATTTTGGGTACACCTGATTTTAACCCACTGCCAAATATGTGCCCAGAGTCAGCTTCTGGCTGACAAATGTGGGGCAAACACAGGCACCCAAAATGGGTTTCAAACATCCTTCGGTCTGCAGTTAGTTTATTTGACGCGCAATGGGTATGGGTCAAATTTACACCACCAGGAATTGGACCGCAAGTTTTAGTATGTCCATGTTTCCCTTCACCGATCAGGCAAGCCAGTTTGGGGTACCCGATTTTTGACCACCACAGCCGAACAAGTCTCCGGCCTCAGCTTTGACAAATGCGGCAAACATAAAAACCAAAAAAATGGGTCACAAACATCCTTCAGACCTCTGGTGGTTAAATTGACCCCAACCGTAAATGACAGATCAATCTTCAATAGAAAGGAATTTGCTAACCCGTAGATGGGCGGGTACTGGAAAACTGCCTGAGGAAATCACCAGGCGGAGACTCACTGACAGCCCGTAGCGCGTCAAACCCATCGACTTTTTTTGCACCCTGAACCGCAGAGGTGACAAAAGCCTGGGTCCGTTGGGGTAACGTCAAAATCCCCCCCCCCCTCTCGTTCAAAGGGAAACAACACCCAACACTTTGTCCACAGGACCGGACGAGACATGGAAATCATGAAAGCTGCCGATTAGGCAGCGAATTAGGCACTTCCCAATCAAACATCCCTCGGAATCTGTACAAGTTCTTTGAGCCCCCCCCCGGACAAAAAAAAAAGGAAAGGAGCTAGCTTTCATGAACCCAGAACATAGCTGTTGCTTTTGCGGCAATTCTAACAGGGGCTCTGACCAACATGGAACCCCAAACAGCGCCCCAAAAAGCGGAATATCCTTTTAGGGGATCCCCCGTTTTGGGTAGTGTTAAAGGAAAATGTGGGGGTGCCACTATCTTAGGAGATACACAAATACATGGAAAGCTGTGTTGTCAAACTGGGTGGGGCTCAAAACCCCTTCTGGCCCTCCCCAAACCCAACGGTGGACAATCCCAACAATACTGTGGCTGATAAAAAGTCCCTGCACCAATTGGGATTGATGAAACCCCAACTCGAAACTATTTGGAAAAACCAGCTGCAGGATGTTTGGTCCATCCACGGTATTGTCGGCAACTTTCAACCAGGACCACCCGCGCTGCACTCGTCCGCTCCTTTCCTGGCAGGACCTTCATACCTGGCGTCGCTTTGAGGTGGAAACGCCTTGGGTGTCTTCGAGGGCAAGCCTTTGGCGGTTCAAGAGAAACCAACACGTAGTGCTTCTTTTATCTTTGTGAGACCCAAAAGGTTTCCTCTGGCTTCCCTTTAAAGGCAACGTGCAACAGCGTACCCTCAGAAACAAACACACCCATATATTCTTTCTTAAACACCAAAAGTTTAAATAAAGGGTAGGCTGGGAAAGCCCATCTTATTTGCCTTGGCTTAAACCCTGGGCGGTGGATTTGGGTTCAAATCTACCAGGGAAAAAACAAACAATGGAACCCTGGTGTTATTTAGCTGAGCAGAGTCAGGTTCATGTCGACCCCAGACCAACCATCCTGAATGAATTGGCTAGCGGGCTTGTCGCACATGCAGCATCTATCCCCCAAACCGGCTGCGTGAATCGCATCCCCAAGATGCCGGTTTTCCTCGTAGCTTCCTGCAAAAATGCCGGTTGTCCTCAATCAACCGAAGGCTTTGATGACTCCTGGGGTCGCATTGGGAAGATAGCCTCTCTGAAAAGGTGACGCTTGCGAGGCAGAAGGCTGCCACGGAAACCTTCTGACGGAAATGAGTCGCTGGGTCCCTCCAAGTGAACATCTTGAGGGACTCTCCAAATCACCTGCTAGGTCCTCCAGTAGAGAGGTTAGAATAAGGGTACCCTTTTTTCTGTAGTCTATTTTAGTCGGGGAACCCTCCCCCAAAAAAGGGTAAAAGGGCACTACTGGGGGGACCTAGCCTGTTGAGGGTGGTTTCCCCTTGGACCGCCAGTTACAGGGCAGTGTTGAGGATGTCACTTTAACGGGGGCCAGTACAGTAGCATCCACTGAAGCAGAGCGACAAAGGATGGAGAGGTTTATGTGCCAGTCACATTTTGTTGCGAAGGACAGGAGATGCACCTTTGCTGGGTCCCAGACTCCGCGAGGAACTCAGATTCAGAGTCTCATATGTCCCTCAAAACCAAGTTGGAAGCAATATGGCGGTGCCACGCTGGAGTTGTGGTTTTGGACCATTCGAAAGAAACCTGTAACTTAGGGGAAGCTCAAACAAACGTCACGTTGAATACGCGCTGAGTCGCTAAAACGGCAACAGAGCGCCTCTTTTGCTGGTTGATGTCAAGCCGGTCTAGGGAAAAAGACTGACGGAGAGTCCAGCACCCTTTACTTGTTCAGTACCAGAGTGGTTTAATTCCCTTTGCCTCGTCTGCAGCAAACGCCAACAAGCATGCGATTGACCATGCACAAAATTGCGAAGTTCCTAACTGGAAGTTCCCAAAGGTCCTTCTGCATCTACAATTCCAAATCCTGAAATCCGAATTGGATCCGGTGATCCGCAAGAACCGCTTTGCGCGGGCGCACCCACGCGGACGTTCTTGGCGGTGACGGGCCTGACGCGGAGGGAGCGAGCCCCAAGGTTCCCAGGAACGGGAACTGCCCCGAAATGGGGCCGAGAGCGCCACATGCACCGATTCAGATGAAATGCTTGCATCCAAATGACTCAAGCCTGTGCGATTGGCCATGGGGCAATATCCCATGTCATAGTTGAGTCCATCATGGTCCATCATGAATCCTGTCCTGCTCGAGACTGATTTGGATGGGGTTCGCATCTCTCGAAAACGGGATTGGCTCTTGCCCCGAAAGTGTGGTGCCTTCCCATGATCACGGGTAGTGTCCATGACCAGCCCGACTCACAGGTAGGGTGGTTGAATCAAAACGGGTGTCTACTTTCCCAATCAGGTGTCCATGACCATCGCCAAGCCCAGCCAAAAACGCA